CAACCTTGCCCTGGTCTTGCTCTATTTTCCTAATCCTAATTTTGCATGTGTTTATACATATACATTTTATGGCATAAATAACAGTTATTAATATCAAACTCATATACAAGGCTCACTATGAATGTGCCAGGCATTGTTCTACACACATATTAACTGATCCTCACAACTGTACAAGGTAAGTATTAGCATTAGTATCAGTATCTGTAACATCATCATTATCATCATCATCCCCATTTTGCAGTTAGGGAAACCAAGGCACAGAAAGGTTAGATGGCATGCCTAAGCTCATGGAGCTGTTAAGAGCAGTTTAACTCCAGATCTGTGGCCTTAACCACCGTGCACTATTGTTTCCTTGCTTCTACTTATCCTAACATGGGTACGAGGGAGGGGGAGAAGCAAGTAAGAACTTACCCGGAACTTAGTCATGTCTGACTGTTGTGGAGAGAAGGCAAAGGCCTAAAAAGGCAGAGCTGTTGATAGGGAGGAGGAGAAAAGAGGAGAGCTGCGGATGGCAAGGAATACCCAGATTGAAAGTTCACCAAATCACCAGGCCAGAAATCCACAAATGCCAGCTGGTAAAATGGCCACGCTATAGCTAAGAAAAAAGGGAAAGGACATTTGTTTTCCCCACGGATCCCCATCACTCAACAGCACAGCCCTATCATGGACCTCATAGGCCACCCACTCACCACCAGAGATTCCACATCGCTGACTCGAGACCTCGCATCACACACTTCAGAGCCCCCCAACGCTTACCCTACAGACGTCATCACTCACTCCACAGACCCTCTCACCGCACCGCCAAATACTCCCACCATTCACTCCACAGTCCCTCCGTCGCTCACTCCCCACAACTCATCACTCATTCCACAGACCTCCCATCACTCCGTCTATCCCTCTTCCCAGACTCTCATTACTCATCTGAGAGCCCCTCCCCAAGTACTCACTGAGTAAATTCGCGTCTTTACAGAGTCCACACTCCCCTGTGTCACTCCGCCCGCAGAGTACCAGACCTCTCACTTCCGCTCCCAGTGAACTCTGCCCTCCTTCACCCACTGCTCTGATTTTAAAATCCGAATTCTTATTCTGCCAAAGTCTCCTTGATGTTTCCAAAATCAGTTATAACTTCTCTGATAGCCACTTTTTCGTCCTTCACCCCGCCTTGGTTGCTGTCACGCATTATACTTGCTCATGCGCAATAGCCCTTCCTGAAGCCATTGGCGCTAGTAGCCAGAATTATTTTGATTACCACAATGATTGTACTTGGCTGGCAAGAAAAATGGCCGCGCCAGTAAGCCAGTTGTCAAGAGAGCAGACATCTTTATAGCTTTTACTATTCCGTACAGTGGAGAAAACGTGCCTCGTAAAGTTTGGACGAGATGGGATTTCGGGAGGAATTCGAAAACTTGGCGAGAAGAGTGGAGCCCTTTGTGCGAAAGCAGATTACAGATGGGATAAGTTACTTGCGTATTTTTTTTTTTTTTTTTTTTTTACAAATTTAGAGCAGAGAACCACAGCCCACCTCCTCCCCGCCTCCATGTGAAGATACTACGGCGGAGATGGGGGTGGTGGAATGGAACTGTCCTCTCTGGGAACTATTATCTGGGAGAAAGGAGTAAGAGCGGAGAATAATACATTCTCTTGCAGATCAGTACCACTGTGGAGATGGTGAGAAAATGTGGAGGTGGTCGTGCTCTCAAGGAAATAGCACTAGGGAGAATTGTGCAGATTTGAAGAAGGCTCGGGTTGGTACAGTCCGCTGTGGGAGATACCACTGGTGCAGATGTGGACAAAGCCGGGGGGTGGTACAAGTCTGTCCTCAAAGAAAGAGAAGTGTGAAGAAAGTGACACTGGTAAACACAAGCACAGAAAAAATCAGAGACAGAATGTCAGGGGAAAAGGTATCCTGGCGAGGTAAGAGCTTAGTCAGAGACTCGAGGAGAATCGACACAAATCTGACCCCAGTACCCCGAGGCAGAGAGACTTGGGAAGGCCCAGATGGTATGGGGCCCGGCTCAGGTCCTCCTGGACGCCTGGCGGAAAGAAGGGGAGACGGCTTCTGGATTTCAAACTCCCTACCCCCTTCATCACGTTCTATCGCCTGATCATGTGAAAGACAAAATGCACTGGACAATTAAGGTGATCCTTATTTTCAGGCTGTTGTAATAGGGAAACATTTCATTGATAAGGAACACCCCAAAGACAAGAAAGGGGACCTTAGATTCCATCGAGGAAGGTGAACAAAGGAGCCATCCTTGAGTCATGAAGAATGGGTAGAGGTCTTATTTCAGAATATGCAAAGGTACTGGAACTGTTATAGACTTGCATCCCCTTCCCAAAAGTCGTATGTTGAACCTTTAACCCCCAATGTGATGGTATTTATAAATGGACCCATTGGGAGATAATTATGGTTAGATGAGGCCATGAAGAAAAGCCCTGATTCAATGGAATTGGTGCCCTAATAAGAGACGCTCGAGAGCTCGCTCACCCCATTTGTCCAAAAATATAAGTCACATGAAGACACAACAAGAAGGCATCTGTCGACAAGCCAAAAAGAGAGTCTTCACCAGAAACCAAATCAGCTGGCACATTGATCTCGGGCTTCTCAGCCTCCAAACTATGGGAAATAAATTTCCTAAAGTTTAAGCCACCCAATCTCTGGTATTTTGTTATGGCAACCAAGACTGACTAAGATAGGGACCTGTGAAGTTAGCTGTTTGCTGAAACACAAGGGGGGGGGGGTGTTCCAAAATCATCACTGCTTTCACTGTCATCTCCATTTAAGCTTACTCTGCCCCTCATGATTCTCATTCCTTCCAACCCTATCAATCATTCAAATCCGTTCTCTTCTACTGTGCCCCAAGTGTCCCTCCATTCAATAACACCATTATTCACTTCCATCCACTCTACTTCATGGCCACCATTCATACATACTCTATCCTATATGAAAACTTTTGGAGGGGCAGAGGATGTAACTGAGCGGTACAGCATGTGTCTACCACGTGGAAGGCCCTAGGTTTGAGCCCCAGCATGGGAGGAAAAACATTTTTTTATTGTGGTAAAACACAGAGAGCATGAAATGTACTACTTTAACCATTTGAAAGCATACAATTCTGTGTCATATAGTACATTCACAATGTTGTACAATCATATCTACTATCTTGTTCCAGACCATCTTTATCACCCCAAAAGGAAACTCCACAGCCATTAAGTACTAGTTTCCCATTCCCCTCTGCTTCCAGCTCCTGGCTACCATTTAATCTTCTCTCTGTCATTGGATTTGCCTATCATAAATATTTCATATACATAGAATCATATACTCTGTGGACTTTTGTATCTTCACTTAACAGTGTCTTTTTCTTGATTCATTGTGTGCTGCTATAAAAAAACACCAAAAACTGGGTAATTCATAAACAATAGAAGTTTATTTGGCTCTGGAGGCTGGGAAGTCCAAAAGCATGGCCCCAGAATCTTTCCAGAGCCTTCATGCTACATCATAATGTGGCAGAAGGACAAGCAAGCACACTTAAGACATAAGAGAAATTGGAAAACTATCCTTTTTTATCAGAAACCACTCCTGAAATAACTAAACCATTCCTTCAATAATGGCATTAATCCATTTATGAGGACTCTGCCCTCATGACCTAATCATAAAAGACCCTTAAAAGTTCCACCTTTTAATACTGTCGTGATGGCAATTAAGTTTAAACATGAGTTTGGGATGAAACATTAAAACCACAGCAGTCTTCAAGGATCACCCACATGATACCAAGTATCAGTATTTCATTCCTTTTTTATGACTCCACTTTGGAGACAGACCACCTTTAATTTGTCCATTCTTCAGTTAATAGACATGTGGGTTGTTTGTGCCTTTTGGCTACTATGAACGGGGCTGCTATGAAATTCATATACAAGTTTTCATTTAAACACTTGTTTTCAGGTTGAGTATATATGTAGGAGTATAATGGATGGATCATATGGTAGTTCAACATTTAACTTTGTGAAGACCACCAAACCATTTTTTATGGTGGCTGCACCATTTTACTTTCCCACCACAGTGTATTAGGGCTCTAATTGCTCCACATCCTCTCTAACATTTCCTATTTTCTGTTTGTTTTCATGATATAGTAGATATGAAGTGATATCTTATTGTGGGCTTGTTTTTGTTTTGAAACAAGGTTCTGCTAAACAGATCAGGCTGGCCTCAAATTTGCAATTCTCCTGCCTTAGCCTCCTGTGTAGATCAGATTACAGGCTTGCACTATGGTGCTCTGCTTCATTGTGGTTTTGATTGTGTTTTTCATATGACTAATGAAAGTGAGAATATTTTTATATGCTTATTGGCCATAGCAGATCTTCTTTGGAGAAATTTCTATTCAAATCCTTTGCCCATTGTTAAGAGGGATTTTTGTCTTTTGGTTGTTAAGTTGTAAGAGTTCTTTATATATTCTAAATACCAAACTCTTATAGATATATAATTACTTAGCCTTTACCAGATTATAATTTTTCACTCTGCTAATAACATTCTTTGTTTTTGTTGTTGTAGTGTTGTTTATTTATTGTTTTGGTTTGTTGTTATTGAGACAGGGTCTTACTCTATAGCTCAAGCTGGCCTTCAACTCACTATGTAGCCCAGACTAGCCTTGGATTTGCAGTGATCCTCCTGTCTCAGCCTCCCGAGTGCCACTGTGCCCGGCTTCACTCAACTAATAATATTCTTTGATGCACAAAAGTTCTCAATTTTGATGAAGTTCAATTCATCTATTTTTTCCTCTTTTTTTCCTTATGATTTTGGTGTCATAGTCAAGAAATCCTTGCCAAATGAAGTTCTAAAAGGAGCTGAAGTTAGATTGGGAAGATGGGAGGACACAATGGTTGATGCTATGCTCCTGGGACCAGGACTAAAACTGCAGCAGATGGAGGCAGAGACAATCCATAATGAATGAGGGTAACATTTAACACTGTTAAGTCTGTGCCAGAATTTGAAAGGATGAGATAGAGGAGATTGTTTTCATGTGTTAAATAAATGAACCAAAGATAGCCTCTATGTGTCTACTCCCACCTAGTTGATTTCTTCACTGTGAGCAGAGACATTTTACTTCCAAAGCAAAATAAACTTATACATCTAATTATTTTAGAAGCTGCACAAATGAGCAAATTCGTAGCCAATTAGAGCCTAAGGGAGCTGCATGCCCCACGAAACCTGAGCTTCACATTTTGGCTACAGATATGTATGGTAAGCCCTGGCCACAAACTCTCCAAGCTGCTGCTACCCTTCAGAGTTCTCTAACCCAGCTCTGTGCTTTGCTGCTGAGTGACACTGGTTTAACATATAAGCCCTCTCTCCCATCCCTCAATGCCTCAGCAGTTCCTTTGAAGTTCTGTTCTGAATAGCTGACCCTTGTTCAAGACTTCCTTTTAGACTCCTGCTGTGACCCAAGGTCTCCTGCCTGTAAACGTGTCACTCAGTAAGCATCACTCAGTAAACCCTATTGTGCTGCCACCTTGTGGTGATATTTTCCCCAAACTATTCAAACTTCTCACAAGTAATGAAAAAGGGAAGATTGCTGGGAAAAGATCTTGAAGTAGACATTAGGACAATCATTTGGCAAAACAATCCTGGAGGGATTCAGGTGGTAGGACTCAGAATCTGGAATACCACTTCTCCAGGTTGGCATGGCACTGCTCTGTCCTAGATCACTCCCCTGTGCCTCACTGGCCTGCTCAAGCAAGAACACCAGTAAGCGAGTGAACCCATCTGGATAGAACTGACTTCTAGGGGTTCAAAGGTGCCTGGCTGCCCAAGGAAAGAAGCCAGCTGTCCACCTATGTCCACACTAGGCAAGTGCTGGACACTGTAAGGCCTGTGGGCCTGAACACAAAATAGGGAGCAGTGGGAACCTCTGGACCAAGGGTGGGCTACCCTGACCTCAGGGCACGCTATTGTGGGAGGAGCTCCATGCCAGGGCCTCTGACTTCGAGGATGTTGAGATAAGTATGGCAGATAAACAAGACGAACGATAAAGCAAAGGCATCAGCCTGAGGCTGGACCTCAAAGGTCAGTGAGGGGAAGTGCCTTTGTGAACAGCTAGTGTGATTCTGAGATTGTCTCACTTGGAACTGCTATGACAGATGCCATCTTTCTAGTTCCTTTCCAGAGATATATAAAAGCCTCAGATTTGGGCTGAGATGGCTAAAGTATTTTTCAAATGACTAAATAAAAGCAAGGCACTTAAGCAGAGCGCTACCATGTTTGAGGCCATGATTCCATTCTCAGCACAGCAAAACAAAAACAAGAAAAAAAGGAAATAAAAACCCCACAATGTTTATATCTCCACCCCTCCCAGGACTCTTGAGGAGGTGGCTATCCTAATGACTCCAAACCACAAGAGCCACAAAGGGTCTAGCTCACCTCCACTGCTCACTAGGAGGTCAGCCAAAGAGGAGGTAGGAACCCAGTGTCGCCCAGAAAGCGCT